CTAACAAGTGAACACTGCTGTTGAAATTGAAACAAAGATGGAGTAGAATAGTTGTCTTTGTGTTGTAGGCCTAATCGGTGTGAAATTCACCGAGTGTCGAGCGGATTGGAGTCGAGCGCTTTCCTACCTGCTATATATATTAACAGTCACTGCGCACAGTGAGCAATGGCGGCGTTAGTGTGTGTGCATAGAGCATTTACACGGAATTGACAGGAAACTATCGGCAATAATAGGTGAAAGAGAGTATAGAAACATTAAGAATTTTGTAGTACTAGTAGTAGTATTAGATTTCGTATTTATTTAGCATTATATTTTATTGAAACGTTTCAAGTGCCTGTGCGTGCGGCGGCGAGTTAGGCACCATGTTGTTATATATAGTCAATAGATGCGTGTGTGCTGTAGCTGCAGGTGCGGACTTGTTCTTGCTGCCAGTGTTGTATTCGTGTGAAATCAAGTGAGCGTCGAGCGAATTTTGGCAGCACGCTTTCCTACCTGCTATATATTTATGTGTCAGTGTGCAGCAGCTAGCATGCGACAGCCAGCGTGTGTTGCAGATGAGACTTTGGTAGTAAATAGATTTCGTATTTATTTAGCATTATATAATATATTTTATTGAAACGCTCCAAGTGCGTGCGCTGTACTGTTTAGAGTGGTGCTGCGCAGTAGTACTGTAGTCTGTACTACTAGTAGCTCCAAGAAACGGTATTGCTAGGGTTAGAATACCGTTTCAATTTCTTGCCCACAATTCCTTGTAGTTGGCTCGGTATCCAACCATCGACACAGCTAGCGTCACATGTAATAGCTCAAACGAATCTATAAACCTCTGCCTTGCTCGCAGTAACTGGGCGCTACTGGGCGCTACTTATTTATTGTGTTATGCCATTTTTCTGAGATTAATTGGATCAAAACAACCAGACAGCCGCCATGTCTGCCATGTTCAGTGCAACTAAAATCGGCAATGGACCTGATTTTCACAGTGCGTAGGCCAAATACAACGCAAGTACATATCTTCGCAATGATAATTATTAAGTTGTTGTAGATTGACGATTCCTGGTTTTCAATGTTTTAATATTTATATATATATACGAGTATATGATGCTTCTTTATGCTCGCGCCAACGCAAGTAGCAACGCTATGGTATGTTATGTCGTTTCGGGTTTTCCGCGTGGCGTTCGAAAATCATGCGCATTGCAAACATGGCGGTTGGCGGTTAGTTGAAATTTCGGTTTGGCTCTTGAAATTTACACTGTGCACAGCAAACTGAGGTATTAGTTTTAATAACAACGCTGGAATACTATAAGGTGAAGGTTATATTTGATACAAAACAAGACTTCTAACGACCATACCGCTAACAAACTCGCTGCGATACCTGTTCTTCATTGCTGACGTTTAAATCGTCGCGAGCCGTGATGTCGACGATGTCGGCTTTGTCGAGTCGCGGAAACTCCTCCGACTTCGAAACTTGGACGAAGTGTTTCTCGATGAACTTGTTCGTGGAGGTGACCAGGTCAGCACACATCAGCGTGTCGGCAAACGACCGGATTCCTAAGCAATTACTCGGATGAAGTCTGGAAAAAACGAAACATTATGTAATTGCCTCGTGTTGACAATAACATTAGCAAAGTTTTGTCGTAGTTTACGGAACTGACTGGAAACCGTCGTAATGTACAAAGAAATTGTAAGATTTATCAATTTATTACATAACAAAGGCCTTGAAATCTGCTATTTGATGGTTTCCTAATATGGCATTATTCACTAGTTATGAAAACATGATGCAATTTTTACAAATTAATATTCATACACGACTACCTATCATAACACATATCTTCCAATTATGTACTTGTAATCAATAAATTTGAATATAAGGTTTTTAACAAATTTTCATCCAATTCGCAGCCGTTCAACAGCAAATTACCACGTTCCTGTTATCCCACATTTTCTTGCAGCTGCGATGTGTTTCTGTCAACGCTATTCTTGTACGTTAATTAAGTTAATCCTAGGATAACAATTGCGGCTTATGTTAACATGAGCCGAAACTATTATCCTAGGATTAACTTTACGGGTACAGAGTTTCTTCTGAGGGAAAATTAGACAATGGAAGTAATGGCCTGTTTGGGGAAAAAACATGTATAATGGATTAAAAGGCGTAATTCCGCATCTCAAGGACCTAGCAAAGCGAGCACCACATGAGAAACAAATAAACAATGAATATGAAATGATACAAGTAATCACATTAAATAGTAATACGGTTGAAAACGAGGCGAATGCCTGGAGCGTGGCAAAGATCCGGAAGCTTCCGGTTATATTTATCTTCTGTGTATCAATGATCTTATGAATTTGAAGTGCATACATTTAAAAGATACATAATTCAACCGAAGATTTACAAAAATATTATTAGTTAATTATTTTTACATGCACTCATTTTCATTAATAACGCTTAACAGCATGAAATTCGATTCTAATTTCTATTTCAATGAAAGCACTTTCCTGGTGTAGAATACAAATGAACACCCATGCGTATGTATGCATAGGTATAGCGCCCTTAATTCACTGCTGGAATACATGACCAACCATTTTCCTACCCTGTGTTTATGGTGACAGTATCGTAAGTACGCGGCGTAGTGTTTTACGTTTGGAGCTTTATTTCGATTTTAGTATAATAAAGTGTAGTTTATTGATGGAGGAACAGTGGTTTTCGTCAGCGAGGCAGTGTTTTCGAGAAATTTCTGTGTCGCGGCTGAGAATTTGAGCGAGGCGCGTGTCAATGCAGGGTAAACACTTTATTTATTTTTGGGTTGACACTATTTTGACCACTGCGGGTAAATACAGGAACATTTTCACAACGGCGATGTTAAATTTGACAACAGCAGTGTGCCACTGTGCCTCTTATGTAGAAGAAACCCTGGGGTAACTATACTATGTTAATTGTAACGAGCCTATGGTCACTGACCTTGCATTGAGAAAGTCACAGCACGCTTCCTTTACTTCGTGAAGTTGTAGAAAGCTAGCCCCAACAAGCAGAGACTGCACGTTGTTAATTGATATCTGAACTTTTCCATTGTATGCAAAGTTGATTAGTGCTTCTAGGACCCTGTAGAAATAGTCAAAAACACATACAGACACCGAGGTGCAGGTCATCATTTTTGCACTCTAAAAGAATATATGTAATTAAAAAATATTTAATATTTAATACAACACATGAACAAGCACATCATTAAAGAACTTTGAGGCATTAAATATACCAAAAGCAAGGCTACTAAATTTGAGATTCATCAGATCAGGTGGTTTTGAATTATGTGATAATTAAAGTCTGATAAATTTTCACTTTGATCTGTTATTAAAATCATGCATAACTTACTCTGCTTCGATTCCCTGTATTGAGATCTCGTTCTGTCGGCTCTCGACCATGTCATTCGTGAACATCGCATGAAAGTAAGGTATGCTGGCTGCGAGAATGAGTTTATGTGCACTGAACTTCTGTCCATCCACCTGTAATTTTAATTTACATGGTTACGATTTTCAATTTGTGTGTAGATTTTAATTGTGTTTGTTATGTCATATCATGTTACGTTACATTTATAGTACATAAATTATATTATGTTATGTTATGTTATATTATATATTATGTTATGTTGTGATGACTGTTGCCGTAACTTGTGTAGTGTTGTTGTGTTGACTGTGTTGTTGTTGTGTTGACTGTGTTGTGTGTGTTGTGTTGTTGTTGTGTTGACTGTGCTGTGAAACAGCGCTCCTCGGCTGGAGCAGAGAAACTCCAGGTTTTCTATAGGCAAGCTGCTCTGACCGGAACACACACAAAATCCAACAAAGTTATCGGTGTCGGAATTAGGGCGAGGAAGCTTGGACTAATTTTATAATGTGTACAGTACACTGTACAGCACAGGCACTTGGAGCGTTTCAATAAAATATAATGCTAAATAAAATACAAATCTATTTAAGCTACAGTCTTAAATGTTTCCTACCTCTCTTTCACCACTTATTGCGACAATTTTATCATGCGTCCAAATGGCTCATCTGGCAACACACCTGGCTGTGCATGGCTAGCTGCTTGCACACTGACACATAATATATAGCAGGTAGGACAAGCGTGCTGCCAAAATTCGCCGACGCTCGCTTGATTCAAACATACCACGAATACAATCACAAATATAAACCATTCTACTCATCTTTGCTTTATATTGAAGGACAGTGTCACTGTTATAAAAAACTACTGTCGTGATCTCGTAACCGAGCTGGTCACCGCGAATCACACCACCGAACTGAAATCTTGCTCGATGGCCCCGCTCCAGTTGCGCATTTATGCTACATGCTGTCGCAAATCAGGAAAACACCCACCGCGCTCTTTGTGACGCTCATTTTGCAACACGCATATGCAACGCTCCACTGGCGCTTTGACGAGGCCCGTACTGAGTTGGAAAACAGCGCTGTAGTTTCCCAAAATGACAGTGCGCCCCTATAGGCCCTGTTACTGCCAGCCATTTACATAAACTGTCGCAACGGGAGCGAACGCGTAGAATCGTCCGGCTTTGTCTATTGGCGTGACAACAGCTCGCTTACGAACACAGACGTATGTTTTATAACATGACCAGTGTCCAGTGTCACCTTTCAAATAGAAACAAAGATGGAAGTAAAATGGTTGAATTTTTGTAGTTTTCATGTGCCGACTTGCGCAGCTGTCTGCACATATAACTTGTGGCAGCAATCGCGCAGCGCCC